TTTGGTCGCCATATTATAGAATGGATATAAATTCACTTGAACGTGTCCAGCGTAGGATGACTAAGTTAATTCCCCAAATTAGAAATCTTTCATATGAAGAAAGATTAACAAAGCTTAAGTTGCATTCACTGGAAAGGCGAAGAGTTAGGGGCGACATGATAGAGGTTTACAAGTGGGTGAATGGACATAACAAGGGGGATATTAATAGGGTATTAAAAGTATCAACACAGGACAGAACACGAAACAATGGGTATAAATTGGATAAGTTTAGATTTAGGAAAGACTTGGGTAAATACTGGTTCAGTAACAGGGTTGTAGATTTGTGGAACCAATTGCCGCGTAACGTGGTGGAGGTGGGGTCCCTCGATTGTTTCAAGCGCGGGTTGGACAAGTATATGAGTGGGATTGGGTGGTTATAGAATAGGAGCTGCCTCGTATGGGCCAATAGGCCTTCTGCAGTTACCTTTGTTCTTATGTTCTTATGTTCTTATTATAAATAAGAGCGGCCTCGTATGGACCAATAGGCCTTCTGCAGTAAGCTTTATTCTTATGTTCTTATGTGGACAGAGGTTCCTATATGAGGAGCCCCAGCATAGTACGTCCGCCTCGGGTTATGGCAAGCCATCAACTGGTTACTGGCGCCTGGATATCTCGACAAGAGAACTTGCACCTAACGTACTATCTTGCAAATAGCTGAAAAATCATGACGTCTACTTGCCTAATTTTGTTTACAAAATATTCGACGGTCAAAATCATGTCATCTGTCAAAAAATGGTAAAGAAACAATAATGACATACAAATTATGGACCCCCTCTAGTTTGGACCTAGTTTGTGGAGAGGAGGAATTAATGTGGAAGGCGGTGTAAGGTCCTGTTAATTATTACTAATCATAAATGTCACTTTCTGTACCCGACTCCATTCCAGATAGTAACTGAATAAGTGGCCGCTGTAAAACCTTGTTGTTTAAAGATAGACAGAAGGCAACATAAGTAAATAAGACTCAAATAATAAATTAACTATATATTACATTAAAACAAACTACATGTAAGTATATATACTAAACCTTGGTATCCTACTAAGTACCTGTAAATTATACAACCTGGGATTTCACTGAATATAGAACTTTGGAGGCTTCAACTGAAGTTAATCCAAGTTTTACACATAACCCTAAGCACTCTGGTGTAGGTAAAGTAGTTCATGAACCACACCAACTTCAGATATAGCGTTATCTCACAGCGTTAGTGTGGTTTCTTCAAGTGCTCCACTAATTTTCTCATTGATATATATTACGTCAGCGTCATTTCTTTGTGTATCTGAAGCTGGAGGGTACTGTTGATGAAATACTTTACCTACACCAGAGTGCTTAGGGTTATGTGTAAAACTTGAATTAGCTTCAGTAGAAGCCTCAAAACTTTCTGAGGATTCTGTGGAATCCAAGGTTGTATAACTTATACCATGTCATGGAATAAGGAGTAAGGTGGACGCCTGGGAGTACCGTGATAGCTGGTTCGAGTCCCCACATTGCTCCAATTGATTTTCTCACAGACAACTACTTCAGCACCCACGACTATTACAACATTGACAACTATTATAACACTAACAACTAATACAACACTGACAACTATTATAAATCTGACAACTATTGCAACAGTATCCTTGAATACTTATAAAAATTTTCAGTGACTTATGAGTCTAGTAAAGATGTCAGAATAGTTTTATTAGTTGTAGTTTCAGCAGGAGCATTAACCTGGCGCGTGTCTGCTGCAGGTGGCGTGGGTGGCGGCGCTGCTCTGCGGCCTCGCTGCTGGAGTCTGCGAGCCAGACTGCAGCGGCCCTTCCCCTCCGCCAATTACACCGGATCCTCTCAACTGCACTCAGTTTTACCTCTGTTTGGCGACCGACTTGCCCTCGGACGCTCCTGGGTCTTGTCCAGCTGGTACATCCTTCAACCCAACAGCCGTAGATTGTTCTGGTACCACACCTTGTAGACCAAACTGCATGCTACCAGCGTGCAATTCAACATGCACCAATAACCTAGAGAAGATCTATGACCGGACGAATTGCAACCGCTACTTTATTTGCTATGGAGACAGCTTCTTGGGGCCATTCGACTGCCCAGCGGACAGACCTTACTTTGACGGCGTGAAGCAGGCCTGCAGTGCGGACAAGCGCGGGTGTTGCATCGACCCGTGTATTGCCTACTGCTATGCCGCAGGGACAGAGACACCCGACCCCTATGACTGCACCAAGTACTACTTGTGTGTCGATGTGGGACTACCTTACGAGATGTTCCATAATACCTGCCCTTCAGGGTCCACCTTTGACCTACAGCTGGGTCACTGTGAGGTCGGCGCCGCTTGTAATATACTGTGTGTCGACACCAACGGTCCCCGGGGAAGGAACAACCTCCCATTGGTTAACAACGGTGGCTCCATCCAGCCACCCTTGAGACCTGCTCAGGATCCTTGCTATTCAACACTGACCCTGCCTTCCCTTACTGTGTCCAGCCCGACGACTGCCCTCACCCAGCGATCTGAGCCCACCTACCTTTAGGTGGTGCTACCTTGAGGTGCTTCCGGGGCTTAGCGTCCCCGCGGTTCGGTCGTCGACCAGGCCTCCTGCAGACCTTTGGTCGGACTTGAGAAGAAAAACTCTCAAAGCCAACTCCATTTAAACCTAGACCTTAGGTACTTCCACCACCTACCTGAGACAACTACCATCCTGGGTCCTCCACATGTACTTGTTTCCACTAATTACACTTGTGCATCCCACCTGCATCTGATCAGTCCACTCTTTACACGCTGAAACTTATAATGAATATTTTGAAGCAAATAATTCTGAACTTTAAGCAAGTAATGTAAAACTTGAAGTACATAATGTATATCGTTTTAAATAAGGTATAACTTAGAGGAAGTAATGACCAGCTTAAACCAAATAACGTATAGCGAGGCAAATAATGTATAACCAAATATTTGCAACTTAAGCCAAATATGTATAACTTATACCATATAGCTATACTTTCAACTAAATATGTAAACCTTGTAGCAAGGAATATACAACCTGAAGCAAATTATGTATTCCGTATATAAATTAAAGTATTGCTGGAAACAAACTGTAAAGTTTTCATCAAGTAAACAGTCCAAAACTAACTGCTGAGTTTACCTTCCCTGGAGAAGAGTGAATGCAAAGATAGAGGAACACGTTACCGTGATTTTTAACATCAGTAACTAGTCACAGTCATAGTCAAAGTAGCAGTTGTAGCACGTCTCAGTAGTAGTAATAGTTGTAGTAGCAACAGTTTCAGAACCAATGATTGTCTCAATGGTAGTAATAGCGGAAGTAGTAATAGTAATCAAAGTAGCAGTTACGTTAGCAGTGGCAGAATTACAATAGTAGTAAAGTTGCAGAAGTAGTTAGTCATATTAGTAGTAACATAGCAGTAGTTACAGTGATTCTAGTATTATAAAAACTAATAATAATTATACTAAGATTAGTGGTAGAACAAATCTTGTTCACAATAGAATCAAACTTTACTTTATAACCAAAATGCAGAGATTCAATTTTGTTTAAATACAGCTTGTTATATCCAAGTAGAAGTAGATCTAATTGTGGCTGTAATTGTAGTAATATAAGTTGTAGTAAGATTAGTTGTACACTTATATGTCATAGAAAGATTACTTGTACAATTATTTGTCGAAGAAAGATTAGATGTAGCAGTGAAGACATGCGCATCATTCCAATAACTTCACGACGGCTGACAATTTTCCCACCAATTAATCAACAGGATTTTACCCAAGTCCTTATATATCGTGTGAATACTCTCAAATGCCTCTAAGCTCTAACCACAATTTCACAGAGGCGCACTTCCAAATAACATAAACGACAATAACAGCAGGAACTTTAAGAATTATGCCTCGTGGCATTCATTCATTCCGACTTCATTTATACTGACACTGTTTGCGGCTTCTTAGCCAAGTTGTGACCAAATTTTGTGTTTCTTCCAATGCTGTGTCCTCTGGCCTTCCTAAGTCGCCTCTCATGGGTAACTGTGTCGAAGGCCTTGTTGAGGTTCAGTTATACAACCTCGTATTTGTTATTGTTGTCAACAGCCTCGAGTATACTAGAAAAAAAAAGTAAATTGGTGGGACAGGAAGGACTACTTGTCAGTTCTGTGTAGGGAGTTTCTTTTCACCTGTAATTTATTACATAATTTTCATATAAGCCGCCATTATTGCTTCTAAGAGCTTTCCCAAGTTCAATGTCAAGCTTATAGCTGCAGCAAGAACTCTCTCTTCCTTTGTCTTGAATATTGGGACCACATTAGTAACCCTCCAGGCTGCAAATATAATGCCAGTTCCGATTTATTTTTGTAATATACTTGTTAGAGGTTCACTGAGTTCCTACTTGTATTCTTTACAGACTCTACTGAATACATCGTGAGAAGAGGGAGATTTTCTTGGCTTAAGCCTCTCAATCTGTTTAAATAAAACCTTCTTTTATCTGTAATTTACATAGTTTGTTTACCTCAATGTTTTGGTTGATTGCTTCAATATAGAATAAATTTTCAAGGTCTTTCTTTGTGAAGACCGATTTTAATTAGTATATTGACAATTCCTTCCCTGATATATATTAGTGGGTTGTTCACTGGATACTTTTTTCAGTGGTTTTGTCCTTCCCACAATTTTCCCACGTAGTTGCTTTAAGATTCAACGTTACGTAAATAGCCACCTTAACTGCCTAAGACCTTTCTTTTTCTCTGATTTCTTAACTGACCTGTTCCTTTAATTTATCGTATCGATCTTTCGTGTTGAGTTCTTCTATTTTGTGTTTTCTCAGACACAAGACAAAGAAAGTTAAATATGGTTAGTGAGATGATATTTAATTTTTTTATGTTACTACAAACGATACTCAATTATTAGTTCCATGAAATGATTGTTTGTATATGCTTCATGTCTCACCATTCTTGCAACTGTGTAAGTGTGATAACCGTTGGGGTATAAGTTTTGCCTCTACGGCATCTGCAGCAGTAGTGGACGCCTCATCGACAGTGCTCAGCTGGTCGCCGTCAGCTGAACAGCGTCTTCGACATGCCCAAGCGGATGCTGCTGGAGTCTCTCACGGTGAGAATATCTTCTAGTGTTTCTTACGATTACATATTCTTCTTACTGGTGTACTTACCTAACAATACTTGTGTAAACCTAACTGTGACTACGGTGGAGTGAGGTCTAGCTCCTTGTACCCCGCCTACTAGTCTTGTTATATCTGTTGCGTTATAATTTAACTGTTTTGACGTTCGAATTCTTTGTCGAATCTGGCCTCAAAGTTGTCCTTCCACAACTTCTTATTTCAGCTCATTCCACTTGTGGACCACCTGTACAGGGTACGAATATTTCCTTTCATTCCTTCAATTCATTTGGCGTTTCCAGTTTCCACCTGTGTCCTCTTGTTCTAATTCTCTCAATGTGAAGAGACTGTCACTGTTCACCATGTCTATTTCCCCTCAGTATCTTGAATGTTGTGATCATATTGGAGCACATTTTTTTACATCTGTAACCGGGAACGCTCTTTTCTGTCATCTCTTCTTAACGTGTATATGCATGGATACTTTTACTGTGTCGAAAATAGCCGTTTGTGTATTCATACAAAAAATTTAACATAGACATACAATAGGTTAAATAGCAGCAAAACAATGAGTGTATCTGCTTAAGGTGGCCTCCCTCACTCAGGCTGTCAACACAGACAAATGTCATCTCCCAATATTTACCTTCAGCGGGTATTGTAAATTCTCCCCCGAGTCCAGACTCCTTCACTACGCTGGTTACACCAGAATGTCTCGAAGTTGTTAAGATCAGCGAGGACTAACATCTGATGAATCTATGCCACACATAGCAAACCTGGTGGAGGAAGTCAGTTTTAATAAATCTGATGGTGGAAGTTAATCTAAGTAACCCTGATGGAAGAAGTTTATCTTATTAAACCTGATGGTGGAAGTCAGTCTTTACAAACCTGGTGGAGGAAGCAAATCTTAAAAACCTGGTGGAGGAAGTCAATCTTATTAAACTTGATGGTGGAAGTCGATCTTAACAAACCTGATAGTGGAAGTCAATCTTAACAAACCTGGTGGTGGAAGTCAGTCCTAACAAACCTGATGGTGCAAGTCATTCCTTACAAACCTGATGGTGGAAGTCAATCTTAACAAACCTGAAGTTCGAAGTCAAAATTAACAAAGCCCTCATAAGAAAATCAAACTTATCCAAACTTCCAGCTCTTTGTAATTTTTCACCAATAATTTACAAACATAAAAGCAGGACATCTGTACTGTAAAGAGTACTTGGTGTGTGTGTTGTTTGTGGGATTACATTATTACTTACACTTGTACAGGTGAGCAGGAGTCAGATACACTATCATTCCCAGCTGTTGACTGACACATTCCCCATCCAGTGAGGCTCAACACAGGATACCGCGGATGGCCATGCTCATCCCTGTGGCCTTTACTCAACCCACTCTCAGTTGTCGTAGCCCACCTTAGACTGCCCATCAATAGCCCACCCTACCCACCTCCAGTGGCCCACCCTACCCACCACACATGGCCCCAACCCATGCGGTTCCTTTGTCTACATGTCAACACCATGCCAGTTAACTCGGCATTTGAGATCCCCCTCCAAGAGAACAACCCGTCCTCTTAAAAATAACGTCACTTTCCGCCCGTATGCGCGCTATGGCCAAATTTGGACGTAATTTGAAATGAAATCGAGTCACAAAAGTGACGTACTGTTCCGTTTTCTGTGTGAGTCGTCCGGCTTACTCGGCACGCTTAGAAGAGGAAACTTATCATTAACGTTTTTCATAACGTTTTGAAACTTTATGAGAATTTCCTGCCCACCTAACCTATCAGAGGACCCTTAACTTACTGTTGTTGAAAAAAAAATCCCAAATTTATTTTCATTTTGAAAATACGTCCACTTTCGGCCATACTGGCAAACGGCCAAAAGCGACGTTTTTTTTAATAGGAGAGGTTGTCTGCTTTCTGTGCCATGTCAGCTTCCCATTCTAACTCTAACAACTATGACAACATTGACAGCAATAACAACATTGAAGACTATAGCAACACTGACAACTATAACAACACTGACAATTATGACAAAACTGACAACTAAAATAATACTGACAACTATAGCAACACTGACATCTGTAACAACACTGACAACTGTAACAACACTGACAACTATAGTGACACTGACAACTATAACAACATTATCATTCCATAAATTCTTGACACACATGTTGGTGATTTGTTTCACATTTTATTTCCAGTTCCAAATAAATTTTCATATATCTTAACATGTTTTATCTGTGGTAGGTTCAGGAGGAACATTAACATGGCGGGTGTCTGCTGCAGGTGGCGTGGGTGGCGGGCGCTGCTCTGCGTCACCCAGGTCCTCTCTGCTGGAAATTGTGACCCAGACTGTCACGGCAAGAACCCTCTGGATAAGGTGGCGGATCCTCTGAATTGCACTCAGTATTATATGTGTTTGGGGGAGAACATGCCCTCAGATGATACACTGCCTTGTCCGACTGGTACTTCCTTCGACGCAACTGCAACTCCTCCAGACTGTACTGGTACTGTGCCATGTGACCCTCCCTGCAGGCTGCCACCATGCGATCTTACATGCGACAGCAACTTGGACCCGATCTCAGACCCAAGGAGCTGCAACAGCTACTACATTTGCTCGGAAGAAATCGTTATTGGGCCCTTGGAATGCCCCAGTGATAAGCCTTTCTTCGACGGCGAGGCCTGTGGTGTGGACGACACCAAGTGCTGTGGGGACGTGTGTATTGCCTACTGCTATCCCGGCCAGATAGAGGCACCCGATCCCTACGACTGCCATAAGTACTACTTGTGTCCAAAAGAGGGACTAGTGGAAGAGCAAAATCATTTTGACTGTCCAGCAGGATCCAATTTTGTCGTAACAGAGAGCAGTTGTTTAGAAGACGCTCCGTGTAACACCTTGTGTGGTGTCAACACAACCACCTCATCCACCACAACCACACCATTCACCACATCGTACACTACTTCAACATCTCACAGGATAGTGATACAACCACCGTAAAAAATAAATCACTAAAGTGGGTTGAACGCCCCCAAATGCGGGCTTAATTGACTGAATCTATTTAGACGCCCAATTTAAATTTCTAGATCTCAACCTCCGAAACTTCTTTAAACATATTTTTTTACGCATTACAAGCCTCTCCATGAAGCGTTACAGGCATAAATATTGTCTGACAAATGATTTAATTATTAATTGAAACACAAAAATATATAGTTTAGCTTTAACCTCTCTCATACAGCTTATCTATATCAAAGTTAAGTCCTTGAAGACAGTCATTGCTATGATGAGGAAATATTAAGGTCATACAGTGGGATCGAACCCACGTCCCTGAGCTCTTTGGCACATAGACTCATCACATTTTTGTGATGTCAGAGTGTATTACTCTGTGGTAATGCTGTATTGTTATTATGTTATTTTTGTTGTATTATATTATTATTGTGTTGTTATGGTCATGTGGTCTGTGTTAAATATATGTTGTTAAATATTTTCTTTGCTCTTAATCTCTGGTAAATTATACTTTTTAATATGTAAAATAAGTCAATACTTCTTAATTTTGTACACTAATGGAATAATTAAATTTCAAATTTTAGGAGATTTTCAGTAAAATGTAATTTGCATATTTTTTTGCATTGTTATGCATGGTGCAAGAAATGGTTCGTTTACAGAGCGGTACCATGCTACATAAAGCTTTTTCGTGTCCACTTAAGAAAGTTTCATCTCTTACCTCAGTCTTGACAATTTAGTTTCTATTTTTTCAAAGAGTTTACGAGCTCTGAAGCACTTCGATGTCATCCTGAGCCCAAGGATATTACTATGGATGATCTCGTAGTGCTATGCAGCTCGTAAAGCGTTGAGTAATTATACGCTAAATCGCCATAATCTAGTGATTAAGATATTATTTAAATAAAACACGTAAGTACTCTGTGAATCCCGCGGCCGGTTATGTGACGACATAAGAGAGTTTCCCCACATCTCAATCTTTACTTTAGAGGACTGAAGCCCATAAGAGGATCCCTCAGCCCAAGGTGACGACGGAGCACTCGTAGCATTATGTAAACCGTATATTAGTCATATTTTCCCTATTTTATAACTTGTTGACACCAAGATTTCGTCGATGAGCCCGTCATGTAAAATATAAATACTATTTTGTCTATAACTTAATAAATATGTATTTATGACAGGATAAATGCATGATATAATAAGTATTCATAAAATTCTTGTTTAAACTATTTTTCCAATAAATCATCAAGTATATATCATTTCACTATGTTAGTAGATCGTTCTCATCACAATTAATCACTATCATACCCTGTCTTTACTCAAGGCTTTCACATTGCCAGGGGGGGGGGGGCGGACACAAGATTCGGATAAGTAAAACACTACTTAAACATTCTATTCTTAAAATTCACTAATTAACACTATTCTTAATCATAGGCCGGCTTACCCACAGCTCCACCCAATCCTAATCACTATACCATCCTAGTCTCCGGAGATCATCTTCACTCTCAAACTATTGGCCCAGTGTTACTCGCTTCATAACAACAGACACATACTACTCATGGTATCAACTCACAAGTTCCACTTCACAGCGTCTTCATAAAATAGCCGGATACAGTGGCAGGATGAGGTCCACCAGCTAGAGAAATGTCACCCTTGGCGTAGCCACCCATGGCCAAGCTCGTGACTGCTCTATGTGGGACCCAGTTCAGAACTGTTTCTCCCCCCCCCCTTCTGTGACATTCCCTCTGGCTCTCCTCAACAATTCCTCACTGTGTCTTGGCTTTCAAGACTAACTTCCCGCTATAATTTCCGGTCGTGTCGGGTCATTTGATTAACCGCTAGCTTTTTATAATTGGCGGAAGCTCTCAGAGGATTCGTCATACACTGGAATCTTGATATTGCCTCATCTGTTTACCATACCAATTTCCATACAAAGCCAACTCACACAAGCCTACGTAAGTGCTTCCACCGGCCTCATACTTTGAGAGCCCACCTAAATTTACTCATATCTATTTAGATCACAACTGATTAGATAAACAGAAACTTCTAAACAATGAAACTAAGTGAAGCCAATGACTACCCAAATAGTATGTTGTGCTATATCATAATGATTTAAGCACTAGATGCTGGGTCAGTTTAGATATTATAAGCCTGAAAATTTTATTATTTCAAGATAACTAAAATATTGGAATATAAGCCAATGATATTTAAACTACGACCAAAATATAATCTAGGTTAACATAGGTTATTTTTTTCTGCCTCATTATATGCTATCAAATCTCCCACTAGTTGGAATGCATAAAAATAAAACATTTTCAAGACAAAATCCTTACCAAATCTCACCAGCCAATGATTACTTGCAGGGAATTAACCACTTGGACTGGATGGTAGAGTAACAGCCTTGTAACATTATTTAATATATGTCCCACAGGTCACTTATATATACAGATCACTTAATTGGTCGCACAGTGATTTATATATATCATTTTGAAATATTCATGAGAGGGTCTACCGAAAGAGTCTGGACGGTAGATATTTTTGTTGTTTTAACCGGTTCACAAGGTTAAAAGCAAAATTTTTATCAGTATGAAACCAGGTCATACCTGACCTCTCCCAGGTAATATTGTTGATTTTTTTCTGTGATATTCCTATGCGGGCCCTAAGCCTCTGACTGGCCCACTAAGTGACACTATTCTCTTTCTTACTTTGGCGGTGGTTGTGTGTTTATGCCTTGTATGTTGGCTTCAGTAAGGTTATGTCCAATGTGTTTAACAACTTCTTCCGTCGTGTTACATCTCAATGATAATCTTACTTGGTCTGTAACTCTGCACTGTTAGATAACGTTCCAGTGAGCTGTTTAGTCTGGAACTCTGGACCGTGTTAGAAATTGCTACAGTGGTCTTGTTTATGACTGTTCTTCTCTGTCGACTTTTATATTAATATTAGTTCTTGTAATATTAGTTGCAGTGATATTATTTGTAGCAATGCTAGTCGAAGTAATATTAATTGCAATAATGTTAGTTTTTATTGTGAGGACAACATGTGCAGCATTCCCAAGCCTTTCCACACATTATCTCCTCCAATAACCTCAATGACACCATCGTGTGAATACTCACAAACGCTTCTGGCATAGATAGTTACACTATCACAGGAGGAAAACTTCCTAACAACAGTCACTACACTATCTTAAGTAGTAAGATCTTTAATTATATAAAATAATATGATGATTAAATTACAGACAGAAAACTTTATTACCAGGAAATTGCATACAGCATTGAGTTGTTTACCAAGAAATTAACATATGAGATCTTTTGGCACATGCTATAAACCCACCCATTCTCATCAATCTACCTATCTAATCAACTCCTGACATTTTTCAACTGTATATCTTAATAATGCTCTCCATCCCTATTATACGACGATATTTCCTGATCTAATATGTCAATACAGAGTGGAATTAGAAACGGTGGATGTAGGGTGGAGAGTTTTGATTCAGGAAAGACCCGGGTAAATTCTGGATTTATAAACTGGACTGTTGATTTGTCGATACAAATTACACGTAATGTTATGTAAAACCGAATTCATTGCCATCATATATGTATCGTTGCAGGTCCAGACTATCTCTATCGGTTTGGAACCCTACTTTTATCTCCTTTATTTATACCTTTAACCCACTTCCAAACTTCAATCATATCTCCCTTCATCCATGACCGTATTGTTGATTTGATATACAGCGTCGCAGTATGATCTTGGCTAAGGAAAATTTTCTTTTTCAAAATTTAACTGCATTTGTCACTTCTTCAATCAGCACTGGAGTATGTTTAAGAATTGATAGCCCATTAGAGTCATATTCTCCCTCCACTACACGCCTTGTCATTGTATAATCCACAAACTTGCTGGTATTAATGGTCACTCCAGTATTAATGGAGGCATTAATTAATATTAAAGGATACTCCATGTGGTATTAATACCACCACCAGTGGTATTAATCCACTCCAGTTATACTGAGCTTTTTTCTGTTTCTCAGCCATTCTCTGATCCAGTTCAATATATTTCTTCCGATAACGTGCATTTCAACCTTCCTAAGTCGCCTCTCATGGGGAACTGTGGCGAATGCCTTATTGAGGTCCAGTTATACAGTGCACATTTGCTATTGTTGTCAATTGCCTCAAATACTGGATAAAAAAGAGCAAATTGGTGGGACAGAAAGGATCCCATGTCAGCCCGTGTTGGGAGTCTTTTTATCATCCTGTATTTTAATACGTGATTTTTGTATAATCTGGCATTATTGCTTCCAAGAACTTTCCAGTGATCAATGTCAAGCTTATAGTTTGTAGCAAGAGCTCTGTCCTCTGGAATATTGGTACCAGGTCTGCGACCCTCCTGACTGTAGGAGCAACACCAGTTTAAATTGATTTATTAAATGTACTCCCTTGAGGTCAACTTAGCTCCTCTATGCATTCCTTCAGGAGTCTCTCGAATACCTTGATATGAATGGGAGATATATTTGAGTTAGGCATTTCAATCTTTTATGTAAATCCTTTTTGCTAAATGTTACATTTGTACCTATTAATAAGCCCTTATAACATGTTCCAATATATACCGTATATATACAAAAATTATTATTATTATTGAGGAAGTCAACTAGAGCTCTGAGGTAGCTCGCAATCAAGACACTCGCAGCCGTTCACACTACCACTGAACCACCCTAACTTATAAAAAGTTATGCAACCGGAATTCTATTCATAAATATTATGTTAGTGATTTCTTTATGTATTATTACTATTGTAATTATTATTAGTAGTAGTAGTATTAATATTGTGGAACGTTTTCATCAAGGACTTAGGTGCTTGCTTTTATGTAGAGTAAATTTTCGAGGTCTTCCTTAGCAAAGCCTGATTTTGAGTAACTGTTTGGTATATTGTATATTGGTTATTTATCCTCATCTTCTACTGATTAACCAGATCATGTTTTCTGGAGTCTTGTCTAGTAAAGAACCTTCACTTTTGTAGGGTTGGAACAATATTTTTAGAATTCATCTTAGCATATTTGGCTATCTTTATTTTGTGATTTTTTTCTTGTTTCTTGCTTCACCTGTTTCTTAGCTTTGTATTACTGATCAATCATGCGGAGTTATCTTTACATAACAGTAAAACTATATTTGAGTTTGTTTATATTACTAAATGGATAATTAATTATCAATTTAATGAGTTGTTTGTTTGAATTTGTTTAATGTCAAGAGGTTTCTTGCCATTCTTGCAACTGTGTCACTGTGATAACTGTTGGGGTATAAGTCTTGGCTCTTAGACAACTACAGCAGTAGTGTTCGCCTGCATCCAGTGCTCAGCTGGTCGCCGACAGCTGCACAGTGTTTTTCAGCATGACCCAGCAGCTGTTGTTGGTGTCACTCTCGGTAAGATTGAGTGATTTCTTACCATTGTATAAAATTGTTTGTAATGTCTTAAGGTGGATTTGTTCACGCTTGTGTCTGTCATTCCTTCCGTCAAAACGTCTGATTGACATGACTGTACAAAGACCCTTTATCTGTGATAATTGAATGATCCAGTACGTGACCCCGTGCCAAGTTAGTAGTAATATCCTTAGTGTAAAGCCTGCACGCGTGAGCTTTAAAAACATAACAACAGACATCTAAATCGTACAGCTAATTGAAGAATTAATTGTTACTTTCTTGGATTGAAAT